ATGTCATTACCAAATACTTTTTCCCAGTCTGTGGCTTCCCTTTTTACCCTGTTGGAGAAGTTTTTGGATGTGCATAGGGATTTGATTCTTAGTCCCATTCATCTATTTTATCTTTTCCTGGTTGTAAATTTTTCAGGATACTTGGAAGACTGTTTATGTTGTGGAGTAGGACTTCTAGAGTTCTTCCAAGCTTTCATGACGTTTATAGTCATTGGTTTTAGTCCTAGGTCCATGATTCACCTAGAGTTGGTTTTTGTGTAATGAGTAAGGTGTGGATTTTGCTTGAGTCTTCTGCAGATAGTTTTCCAATTGTGCCAAGACCATTTGTTAAAAAGGCTGTTATTTCCCCACTTAACTGATTTTATCTCCTTGTCAAAAATCAGTTGACCATAGGTAGATGGGCTGATTTCCGGGTTCTCAATTCTATTTCATTGATCTATGTGTCTGTCATTGTACCAGTACCATGCTGTCTTAACCACCACGGCAGTGTAGTAGGATTTGAAATCAGGGAGTGGGATGCCTCTTACCTTATTTCTCTTTTTAAGGAGTGCTTTGCTTATTCGGGGCCTCTTTCATTCCAAATGAAACTGGAGATTACCTTTTCCATCTTGTTGAAGAATGGGATTGGTATTTGTGTTGGTATTGCATTGAACGTATAAATAGCATTTGGTAGTATTGCCATTTTCGCAATATTGAGTCTTCTATCCATGAGCAAGGGATATTCTTCCACTTCTCCAGGTCTCTTTTTGTTTCTTACAGTAATGTTTTGTAATTTTCTTTGAACAGATCCTTTGGGCTTCTGGTTAGATTTACTTCCAAGTATTTAATCTTGTGATTAGCTATTGTGAAGGGTATTGTTTTTCTTAGCTCCTGCTGTGTATTCTCTTTGTCACTGTAGAGCAATCAGAATGAATAATTTTTTAAAAAGTAAACTGGAAGAGGGGAGGCAGGGAGAGAGACTAAAATGTGCAACAATGAATGAAAGAATGAAAATCTCACTTCTCTCTAAACATCCATTAAAATCACAAAAAAAAATATGTATATATATATATGGCTGTTTACCTCACTGTTTTACTTTCCTTTGTGTAGTATGCAGCATCAGTACTTTCTCTGTGGATCTTCTATCATTACTTCATTAGTCTTCATACTCCAAAGTTTTAATTCCCTTTTACCAGTCTCATACAAATAAGGTAACCTAAGTTTTCTGAAGTCAACTGCTCATACTCAGGGTGATCCCTCAGTTGCTTCTTCCACTCATTGGTTCATCTTTTCATCAACCCACTAGATGGTATTTTTTTTTTTTATTCAGGCCTTATTCTAGTCACAAAAGTGGTAGTAACTGAGTATTCACAGATAGGAACAAGTTGATATGGAAGCCCAAAGAAAGTATGATGAATGGGGAGTTGGGGAAGCCTTCCAGGAGGAGGTGACGTTTGAGTCTGGGAGAGTAAAAGGGAAGAGAGAGAGATAAAGGCCTGAGGGTATAAAAAATCATGGCAGGTGTGAGAAATTGAAGACTGGCAGGATTTTATCTACTGGCTGCTTGAAGTTGTGGGGATCCCACCAGGTAGTGTTCTTTTGGAGCTCAACTTGGTGAGAGCTGTATTTGCTCCCCACAGCTGATCCCAAGGCCTTTCTGTACCCCTCTGGTGCTCCCACGGCTGGGTAAGGTTCCCAGGGTTGTCACCACTACCACCCACTCCCACCCGCTCAGGCAGTGGCATCCCAGAAGGAAAGAGGCAGGGGAGGAAGCAGATAAGAAAGACAGCTTCTGTTTAGACACAAATATCTTGGTAATCAGCACAGATGGGATGAGAAATACCAAAAAAAGTACATGACAGTTTAGAGAGAATTTGGCTAAATGTTACATATTTTTACCATACCTGTGTAGAGTTTTGTGGAATCAGCACCTGAGTTCCCCAGAACCTGACTGGAGGTGAAGCCTCTACCTTCACCAAGCTGTGTTTTTGTTTTAGAGGTGTTTCTTTCCCCTTTCCCTGAAAGTATCTTTGTAATTTCCCACACACACACCAAAATAAGGCACAGGATTTGTCTCTGACGCTGTGTCTCCCTATTTGGATGGCAAGCTGTGTAACATATTTCTACCCAGCGTGAAGCTTCTTGGCAGACTCTTGAGGCCACGCTTTGGTGGCTTCAAAGTTATCTTTGGATCTGTCAAAAGTGCTAATGGGCTTTCTGTCCTTCTTTAAGCTCCTCATTTCTATTTTCTTTTTACTTCCATCCTCTCCTAAAAGAAAAATTCATATAATTCATCAGCAGTTAAGCTTTTACTGAAAAGCTCAGCTGAGGCCTCCTATTTTTGTTTGCAAGAAGAGCTCTGCCGTGTCACCGTCTCCAGAGCAGACTCCACCCTGACATCATTAGCTCAGCACTCCTCAGTCCACCCAGCAAGAGATGCGCTTGGTGACTAATTCATGCTGCCTTTCATTTTGTGTCTTGTTTTGCTTTGCTTTTCCTCAAGTTTGTTAAATGGTAAGTTGGTGTGATGGTTAGAGCAGGAATTGTAGCTGCAGAAGATATGGCTGTGAAATGGGACTCTGTCCTTTTTAGGTTGTGGTTGTAGTTATGTGCCATCGAGTCACTTGTGACTCATAGCGACCCCTATATACAATAGCTCTGAACCCTGCTCTATCGTGTGCCAATCTTATTATCTCTGCCACACCCACCCCCATTGCCCCAGACACTGAATCCATTCATCTCACCAAGGGTCTTCCTCTCTTGCATTGTCCTTCCACCCTCCCAAGCATGGTGTGCCTCTCTACGATCTGGTCGTCCTTGCAACTTGCCCAAAGTGTGTCAGACAAAGCCTCTGAATCCTTGCGTCCAAGGAGCAGCTTGGTTTCATTCTATCTATAGGATAAACCTGTTTATTTTCTTAGCAGTCCATGGTATATTTAATACTCTTCTCCATCAGCACAGCTCAAAGGCATCATTTCTCCTTCTATCATCCCTAGTCTTTGTCCAGCTTTCTGGCACATATCAGGTAGGTGGTGACTGTAGAAATCTACTTAACCTGTAATGGATTGCCTGGCTCATAAGTATTGGTAATTAAGAGGTAACTCATTTTTCACATTACTTTGTCTCACATACTGTTGGCGTATTCTCAGGAAGGGACAGTCTCTGGAGACAGACATGATGCATGGTAAAGTTGAGAATCACCAGAAAGGAGGAAGGGTCTCACCAGGTTGGACTCATTCAGTGGCCACAAAAAATGAGCTCAAACAAACCAACAGTTATGAGGACAGTAGAGGACCAGGCAACGTTTGCTTCTGTTGTGTAGGGGTCAGTGCCAGTTCCCAGGCTCCTAACTTCAAAGGCAGCAGAATTTTTACTGGCATTTTATTTCCTTTTTCTTTAGATATGCTTGTCATTATACTATACTTACTTTCTCCAAATACAATTTTTACACATTTTAAACGGTATTAAGAAAAGGGCACAAATTTAGAGGAAAAACTCACCTTGGCCTGAATCGTGCCTTAACCACCTTCTAGCAAGCTTGGTCATATTACTTCTCCATGCCTCTATTTTCTCATCTGTGTATATCTAGCTTAAGTTGTGGTTTTAAGATTAAATGAAATATGTAAAGACTCATATCTTGTAGATACTGAAAATTGCTTTAGAGTGATAATGGAGTGTTTGGGAAAATACATAGGCAAGCGGATCAGACCTGGGTCCACATCTTTATCTCATCAGTCACTCTACCTCTCCAGAATTGTACATAATAAAGATTATATAGTGACTGGCAGTTGTTCAGCAATTAGTATATGAACTAGTAATTCACTTATTCTTTATCCATCAGAGTTGATGACATATAGTCAAACAATAATAATGAATCATAAGATAAATCCCATTCTTATTCTCAACCCATAATATTGTTGAAAAACACTTTGTGCCTTTTTTCTATAATATCCACCTGGTTTATTTGAATACTTGTAGGTTATGAGTTTTTAATCATTATAAACTCTAACATGGCATTCTTTTCTCCCCAACCTCCTTCATTTCCAGAAAATTGTATTGTGTGGCATTGAAAACCTTTAGCATTGAGGAAATTAGCATATTCATGTATATTAGTAAAGTCAGGTGGGTATAGGAGAGGATGCAGAAATGAAACACATTGTGTTTGGTTGTGAAATCTGAAGAGTACCAATCCATAGTTCTAATTAAAAGACCGAAGCCTAAGCGATAGGAGAAAGCCAGTTAAAACACTGCTTTGTCACGACGCAATGCTGCTTGTCTTTTCTCTCCCACCCTTACCCTGTTTTTCCCCTTTGAGTGAAATACCTGGAAATTGTAAATCTTTGAAATTGCTTTAATTCCGGCCAGGCTATTTAGAACATGTGAGCTGGCAGTGGTGGCAGGAGAGGAGCTTGTGTCGCTTGCATGGTGGGATCTATTGGACAGAAATAGGCTCAGTGCCAGGAGCACTTGGGGCTTGGGCCCTTGCTTCTGCTTAGATGTACAGCATAGCACGTTGGAAAGGTTTTAAAATCTGGTCAGGAGATCTGAGCCACAGCCCTGTCTTCATGATTTATTAGACTGTTTGATCTTGGTTAAATCTCTCTGAGCCTTGGTTTCCTTATTTGTAAGATTGCAGAATTCCCGTCCTGCTTACCTTACAGAGCCGCTATGAAGAGCTAACACAGCACTCTGATGACCTCATGTTGTAAACTGTAATTAACACCCAAGTGTAATTGCCCAGACGGCTTCATCTCGAAGATCTCTTCTGACTTTAAATTTCATGATTTTATACGTGAATGGTCTCTCTGGTAGGAAGAATAAAACCAAGAAAGAAGAAAGTATTCTTTGTGATTATTTTCTGCTTCCCTTGCTTTTATTAGGTACTCATTTGTAATAAGAACAAACAAAATCAGCCACCGACTTTCCCTTCTTCTTCCTTCTAGAGAAATCTGACAGAATATTTTGTGGCTGTGGATGTTAACAACATGTTGCACCTGTACGCCAGCATGCTCTACGAACGCCGGATTCTCATCATTTGCAGCAAACTCAGCACCGTGAGTAGACAGCCTGTGTCGGGCTCTCTAATGATTTTAGCTTGATTGAAAGATGCACCGGCAAAGTGAAAAGTGTAGACAAAAATCACTCACAGTTCCTTAATGTGTATCCAAACTTTTTGCAGTCAAATTGATTTCAACTTACAGCAACCACATAGGACAGAATAAAACTGCCCCACAGCCTTTTCAGACCTGTGCTCTTTATAGGAGCAGCCAGCCATCTTTCCCTTCTTTTTTCTATCTATACATGCACCATCTATTGATTCATTTTACTTTGTAGTGCATAACAAAGTAAAATAATGGCCAACAATATAAAGTAAACAAATACACTCCTTGCTGTTGAGTTAGATGAGCTGCCTATTCACTTTGTTTACCTATTCGATGTCATTCATTTATTTTTGCATTGAACAAGTATTTACTTATTTATCCTTCACCATTGTGAGCACTGGGGACAGTGAGGACAGAAAAATAGAAATCCTAGTCCTCACAGAGCTTATATTCTCATAGAAAAGACAGTCAGGAAGTAAAATATACAGTAGCTAATGGTAAGTAGTAGGAAATAAAATAAAGGACGGTAGATGGAGAGTAGAGAGAGATTGGAGATAACAATTTCATATAACCGAGAAGTGCATTGTTGAGAAGGTGGCACTTTTGCAGAAATTGCACTAGCAATAAACTCTTCTCTCCTATGTTATTTTTTTTCCCTTCTCTTCTGACACATTCTTATGAATACTACCAATATGATCTTTTATCCCCCAAATTAAAAGAAGGAATAAAACTCTTATCATCCTTTTTCCCCTTTTCAACAAAATTTTTCAAAATAATTATCTCTGTGTACTAATTTTTTCATCTCCTCAGTCTTCTCATGCTAGAACATAGGCCCACCTTCCTGCAGAAACTACCTATGTGCAGTTCACCAGTCAAAGTTAAAATGATGTGTTATCAGGCTTATAAAGCTCCTAGATCAAGGCCTGACACATAGTGAACACTGTGTCTGATAACAAATTATTACAGTTTGACTCTTCAGTTTACACAAGTTAATTTTTTAGAATGTTGAAAATCAAGACGTGGTTATTTGGAAATAAAGAGATAAATTCTCTGTTAAATGTGATTTGTTTGAGTCAAGGGAGGAAAATTATGATGTGGACAGCTGCTTTTCAGTGTAAGCCTTTAGTATTATTTGTTTTTAAACGTTAAACATGTATCACTTGGATTTTAAGAAAAACAGTTGTTTTGGGGGGCGGATTTTTGTTTGTTTTTAAAGGAAATGGTTGATTCTTATCTGAGTGCTGAATTTTACTACATAATATTAGAAGTCTCTGGGAGGTTCTCTTTATACCTCACAGGGTGCATCCTTAGCCAATTGTGCAGTTTCTCTAGGGGATAAAAAGCCCAGCTGAATAGAAGTCAGTTTTATTCAAGCCTGTCCAGTTTTAGAATTAACAAGTTTTCCAGGTTGTTGTGTTTTTTTTCCTTTTCTTTTTATTTTCTCAACAGTGGGTCATTATTTTGCTTTAGCTAGGGGAAGAGGGTGGGATATTTGATGCTATAGCAATTTTAGAAAGAGGTTGTCTGGCGACCATCTCTTGCTAAATCCAGATGTGACCTATAATATTTTGACAAACCACATTCTCCTCCATTTTGTTTGATAAGATATAGACTTAATGTTCTTCAGAGCCATCAAGCACCTGAAAGGTAAAAGCTGTCGAACACTCCAGAGTACTATCTTCTATAAAAATGACTGTGCATCAATAGAGACAAATATAGCAACATTTAGTTCAGAGATAGGTAATAGGCGTTTCAGGGGTTTTCGGTCAATAACATAGTGATATTCTGTATAAGAAAAAAATGTAAGTTTTTGTTCTCTTTGCTTAGTTAATGTTTATTGATTGTTTTTCTTTATAAATGATAAATAGGGAAGGCTTAACCAAATCTTGTTCTCTAATGTAAGTACTTCAGTGTGATTTCTGAACCAGAGAGGCCCCATTTTTCTTCTATGTGTTCATTTCTAAGCTTAATTCGATATGATAACTCCTGTGGACAGCAAGTAAGTCCAAAATAAGACTTATGCAGAGATAATACCATGTAATTACATTAATTCCTTAGACTATTGTTCTCATCCCTGCTGTGTTAGCCCATGGAATTGCTCATCCATGTAGAGAGGTGGAGTAACTTAACCGAGATCACATCCTGATCCATGGAAAAGACTTGAAAACATGTCAGGAAGACTCTGGCTTCAGGAAAAGGAGAAACATCCAGCAATTACACATACTAATTCCCACTCTCACTGAGTTAGTTCCAACTCACAGTGACCACTCCTCAGATTTTTGAAGCTGTAAATCTTTACAGGAAAGGACTACCCATCTTTCTTATGAGGAGCAGCTGGTGGATTTGAACCTGTGACCTTTCGGTTATTGGTGAAACAAGTAACACACCATACCACAAAAGTTCTTTACATACTAGTTAAGTGAATCGTAATCCCTTCAAAATAGTTGCCTTGGGGACCAGATTATGTTTGTTGAATGACACTGCTCAAACAATTTTCCTTTTCTTTTCTGTGAGAACTGTCAAAAGAACCAGAAGTACACTGTTAGACTATCCATCCCACTAAGGGAATTTAAAAATTCTTATCAACAACCTAAAAGATACACTGAACTAATTTAGGAAGAGTTTCTTGAGTAAGTTGTAAATAGCTTCAAGACTACCAAATAAGAGATTTTGACAGAATCCATACAGAAAGTATATATTTATTTTACACTTAATATCTTCTAGGGGAATTTTGTGCCTACAGAGTCATCCACAGTTCTCTCTCACACACTTCTTAAATTCCTTTAATCTTTTTGACCACCTGCTATATGCTAGGGCACTATGATAATTTTCTCTCTGTCTCTGTCTTTCTCTCTCTCTCTGTTTTTTTGTTTGTTTCTTTTAATTATTACAGCAGCATAACAGTTGAAATGAGCATCATAGAGGAGATTAAAACCCATTTCTCTTGGCTCCAAATGAGCAATTTTCCAGATAGCTCATGCCACCTCCTTGGTAACTCTCCATTTATCATGAGTTCGTTCCCTTTAATACTTGTAGCTAGAGAAGGATTCTTGGCATCATTTTGCCATCCATGGGTCTAAACTGACTGAAAGACCTTCACCCTGGCCTTTTTCCTTGAATGCACATCTGGGATTTAGTGAACACTTTGTATGTCTGTGGCAGTACTCAGCACCAGGAAATAAAAGACTAAAATGTGACTTCTTAATTAGTGTGACACTGAACCAGCCAGAGCCCACATCTTCCTGACCACCACTCAGACCCAGTCTGCACTGTGTCTTCTCTGGTTGACATGGAATGTCTCCTAGCCCCATCTGCACAGCCATGGTGGATTCCAGGGGCTGCTTGTCTGTATCTTGCTGTAGCTCACTGAGTGTGTGTGCTGAACTTCTTTCCACTCCCTAGTTATCTTGATGCTAATTCCTTCACTAAAATTTAAGGATTGTGGAACAGTATAAGAATATCCTGTTAAATGTAAAAACAAAATAAACCTAAAACCCAGTTATTATAATGATAACTCTGACCCATAGGAACTGCACGTGTGCCAGGGTAGGCTTGTGCTCCATGGAGCTTTCAAAGGAGATGGAATGCCAGGCCTTTCATTCACACTCCCACAGGGTGTGCTAGAACCCCAACCTCTCAGCCAGGCCCTGTGGAGCTTATCTTGCAATATGGCTTTCCTAGCCACTGAACTTGAGCCTGGTGGTTGGGAATATGCGAATAGGGTTTATTAGCCTGTCCACAAAGAGATTAACTGTCTAACCATTCCACAAGGTGATTGGCCAGGCTCCCCAGTATACAAGGAGATTGATAAATCTTGCCCATAAATTTGAGCTATTCCAACAGCAGAGAGCCTCTCTCTCACCACCAACAAAGGAGAAGTAGGCATGCAGTGTACACCCATCAGTACCAGACATTCTTGTGCCAACTAGATCACAGCAGCAGAAACCATGGCCAAAGCAGAGAACCAGAGAATCAGCATGAATGAGATGGAACTGCTACCCTACCCTCCACAAACAGAACCAGAGCTAAGCTAATAAAGAGTCTTTGCCCAAGTTTATTGGACAACTTGGGGAGAGGTGTGAGTCAATACTGGCAGGACTGAGAACTTGTTAACACTGGCCTTAAACCTCAAGGTTGAAGTGCCTCTGAGCACATTTTAGAAACTGTCCTGTCTGAATTCTGCTGTTAACCTGGATCAAAATCTTTTAACTTTCCCAGTATGATTCTGTGTGATCTGTGTGTTACCGTATTTTGGACCCAGTAAAACAGTAAGATTGATGTTGAGATGAGTAGAAAGAGGTACGGAAGCGTGGGAGAAATGTTTGACCTCATGGAATTGGTTTTGTGCTGTTGAAGCTGTTGATGGAAACAGTTATCCTTTGTGAAGTTGGTAAAGATTAGATATGGCTGTGTGGCCGTTATTTTTTTTACAGGCTCATTAACCGTTTTCACCACTTGGGAACTGGGGTGGCAAAAGCATATTCATAGTCCAAAGGAATGCATATTTATTTTATTCAGCACATACTTTTTTTGAGATGATTTCTTAGGAAGGAAGGATAGTTTAGTGGTTAGACCATTATCTAATTAACTGAGCTTCTATGCCTAACTGTTTTGCTTCTTATGGATGATTTACAGCCTCTGAAAACCAATTGAAGGGCAGGTTGAATGGGTTCTGACTGGACAGCAGTGAGGTTGAGTTTGAGTTTGATCCCATGAAAAGAATCCTTTTTCTATTTTGTACCTTATCTGGATGAAGGGAGGTGGAAACCTAACATCTTCTCCCTGTTAGTTTCTTTCTAACTAGGAAGAGTTAGTTCCAAAGAATATGGAACTTGAAAGGACATGGACATGGGTGTCCTGAAGAGTGGTGGGTATTAATTCTGTCTTCCTCCCAACGTCCTTAGGGTCTGGCCCTTAGTAGATGTTCAGTATCCTGTTGAAGGGATGAATAC